AAAGAGATGGGAAAATTTGGGATGATGGAAATGAATAGGAGAGGGGGTCGTGGTGGAGAACTTTCAAAGGGTCTTACCAAAACCACCATTGCACAAATCACGATGCTTTCAGCCTGTTAAGAGGAATGATCGGTCCTAGTAAGTAATTGAAGTGGCCGAATCAAAACCTCGGCACTGCTTTGGATGGAAGCAGAATGTATGGCGACTCTCAAAAAAAGGAGTTAACTAATGTCGAAGGTTTAAGAGATCTTTACAAGTTATAAATTTCTTTGGTTTTTCTGAGTGTAGGAAATGTATGGCTGCTCGGCTCCCTGACTTGAATGCTCGTAACATGCAAATGCCGGCAAGTGCGTGCGATCAAGCATTTCCGCAACTCTCCACTACTTGCAAATCACTCCCTCACGCACGCGTCATTAATCGTGTTAACTCTCCTGCCGCTATAGAGGTCGACCAAACGCCCTCATGCTGTTAGCGCAGGTGTAACGGTTGTGACGAAACCTCGTAAAGAGTTATCGCTATTGTATGACGCGTCAAGTGTGCAAGCACTAAGGCGCAGGTTATTACTCTAGACGAACCTGTGCCGACAATTACAACGTTGTCTCAATGACTTAGTAAATGTGAGTGATTCAAACGAGGCGCTTGATTAAGATTACTGTAAAACATTTACCTGTAGAAACTCATAACTGCTACTGTGTATTTGTGGTTTTGGACACCATGCGCCCGAAGCAATTTCAGTACGAATCCTGCAAAATTTTACGTTTACACATATTTCACGCTGGAAAGGGTGTTTAATAATGAGTGGGTTGCCCGTAAATGCCTATAATTATCCGCGGAATTGTTCACAACAGGTAATGTGCATGAACAAAAAGGTCATATTCTATGCCCACCCGCTAATGAGGCGTCCAGAATTCAACAATGCCCACTTAATTCCATAGAGAGCCATTCTGGCCATTCTGGACGGCGATTAGCACCACAGCAGTGCGAGGTGGGAGAACGGCTTAGTCCAGGTCCTCCTATCAGAGCGCTGTCACCAGGCAGCATAGCTTTGCTGGATTCCCAAGAGAATCGGCGTCTCAACCCGTGCAAGGCCCTTGACTCAATGATATACAAAGGGTTTTCAGTAAAAATCCCGAATCGAAAACTCCTGAACGCTTCAGTGGCCAATTCCCTGCATCTACTACTGTATGTTGTCACCTAGTTGCTAAGTGGTCAAATTTGTGGACGTAACCAGTTAAGCGTACCCTGCTGACTACTTGAGCGTGGCCATTATCGACTTTGAACGGGGTGTATGCCTCAGCGCATAAGCGCTGCCCTCGGACACCCATCTTCTAATCGCACTAATCTTCTTAAGAGCCTCTTTTCACACTGTTCTCAGGTGAGTCAGAGGCGAGCTGAAGCGTCATGCAAAAATGATTTGGTTGGGTTTTCAAGGAAAAGAAC